GACCCCATTCCAGAGAGCCAAGGCAATCAGGTATAATTTGGAATTGGGACTTAGAATTTCTGTTTGGCTGCTCTTTGGAGCAAGAGGTAAACCCAGAAGCTGCTGACAATGACTACTTTCACTATGCGGAATGGGTAGGAGTAAAAGGCCATCTGTATGACGAGAGAGAAGCAGGGAGAAGGTGACAAATGAGGGCTTCCTGGGTTCCATATGGCCTTCCAGTCCCTGGCCTCAGTGGAGGACCAAGGCTGCATCCTAGAGCCCCTGGGATCCATCAGTCTCTTAAATTCTTCTTTCTTGACTAAACCACCTGAAAAGAATTTCTGATATTGATAACCACAGGGGCTTTAATTAAAACTGTTCATAAAGTCAATTTTGGGGTGTTTCTCCTCTCCACATCAACATAGCTTGAAGGTTAAACTCACCTTAAAACTTTATCCTACTCAAGTTTACCTGTGTATACGTCAGTTTTCCATTGCTACAACAAAATCCCTGAAGCTGTGGGTACTTTATAAAGAAAAGAGGTTTAGATAGCTCACAATGTGGGAGGTTCAAGGGCATGGTGCCAGCACTGGCTCAGCTCTGGTGAAGATCTCAAGGGAAGATAGCAGCGTGGCAGGAGTATGTGAGAGAAGGAAAAAAAAAAATCTCATGGTGAGGCAGGAAGCCAGAGAGAAACCAGAGAAGGGCCAAGCTTTCTCTTCTATAACAACCTCTCTTGACAACTAACCAGCTTCCCATGAGAACTACGTCATTCCCTTTCAAGAGCATGCCTCCGATGACCCAGATACTTCCCACTGTAAGTTCCCATGATTTCTTGACATGGCCACACCGAGAACCCAGCTTTCAACACACGTGTCTCTGGGGGGCACACTCAAACCATCTTCAAGCCACAGCAACTTAATGCCTCATAGTGACACCATGAGCCCTACATCACTATATATTACAAACCCAGGGCCTGCTTGGATTCCTACACAGGAGGCGATTATAATTTACATTTCTTTCCAGAATCAGGCAGGGATAAATGAACATAATCTGGAAATGAATAAAAATCCATTGGGTGTGCACAGAAATAAGAACACCAATAGATTCGTCTCAAATTAAGGTCCAACATGAAATTTTATTTACCATGTTAGAGAAGATTAGATGCTTAATTTTTCATTAATGTTTCTGGAATAACTCCAGGCTTTCTACCTCTTATTTTTAATGGAATTCTTATTTTTAAGTAGCAAATCTCATCTGCTACCTCTAGGCTTGCCCAACTGTACCTGGCAGGTTGTACACATGCATTCCCGTGGAAACATGTGACTCCCCAAAGGGGCCATTTCTTTGTCTCTTTTCATCTAGCGACTTCTCTTAATGCACAAGAAAGTGGATAAGCGGTTGTGTCCGTTTCAGCATTACATCACAATGTGACCAGGTGTTGCAAAATCAGAACTTAAATGTGCCTTGACTAGCTCACACTGTGTAGTGCTCTCTATCTCCGGTACTGAACCTTGGAGTTTAAGATCTTGGCCTCCTTAAAGGGAGACTTCTGGGAATCATCTCTGGCAATCACCCGCTGATGATTTTGGCTGCCTTGGGTCACATAAAAACAGGTAGTCACAGGCGTCCAGTGGTTTCCTCGGGGTGGGTTGCTTTCTTTATGGTCATCAATTTACTGGGCCCAGCTGTCAGGCATTCCACTTCTCAATTCACAACTGGAAGTAGAACTTGAACCACAGGAAGGAAGAAAACTCAGATTTTCCCAAACACTGTGTGTTTGAAAAAGTGAGCCTTGTCTCCAACTCATCTGTGTCTTTCCTGTAGAACATAAATGTCAATTTGGAAAACCACGTACCTACAGAGGTTTCTCCCCACAGAAAGGTTTCCCATGACATCTGACTGGGCCACGTGCCAGGTAGCCATCTTTACGGAGTTAACCGGAAGTCAATTTAAAACTGGACATGGAGCAGCCCAAGTTGTTGACTAGTTTCTTCTTATTGATTCGATAGAGAGACTGAAAGGGTTTAAACCGTAGGGCACAGCTTCTAGTCTAACAGAGAAGAAAAATCCTTTTGTTTCGCTTCTTAGAAATTCCTTGGGTCAAAAGTGAAACATGGGAAAGTAGGTCCCAGGCGTTACCCTTGCATCCTATGTCTAATGCGTGGGGTGCACTGTGGTCCCCTCTTAGCCACAGTTTTGGTTATCTTTAGGCATCTGTGTTCCAAAAGTATTAAATGAACAATTCTAGACACAGGCAATTCATAAGTTTTACATGACTTCTATTATATATTGTTAGAGTTAGTTACCCTATTTTATCAGTTGTTTCTAATCTCTTATTACAAATTAAGCTTTCTCATTGGTACTTGTCTATAGAGAGAGAAAAAGCAGTATTAGGGTAGGGTTTGGTACTAGCTGAAGTTTCGGGTATCCACGAGGGATCTTGGAACACATCTCCCTGAGGTAAGAAACGACGGCTGTACTTCTCTGATCCAATTCTTCCTGATCAAATGATTTCCCCCAGGACAATAGAAGGGAATGAACCAGGGAAGAAGCAACAGGACTGTCATTCACCAGAAAGCATACAGCGGGCACTGAGGTCTCAGCCGAGGTGAAGAGGAGCACCCGGACTAACAGAGAGAGACTCTGGACTGAAGGACGACTCCTGTCTAGACAGGGACAAGAATGATTGTGGAAAAGGAGGAGGATCTGAAGACGCTGACCAATCCTTCAGTTTCTTTCAGGGCAGGAACAGTGAACTTGTTAAACTTCCAACTTGAAGACAAAGAGCACATGATCTATCTTTTTTCCCTAACATCTTCCTTTTTGCAAGATTGATTGACCTATCAGTGATTAGAAACTTTGCTATCCACTTTCAACCTAATAAAGGGTTAGTCTTCTTTACCTTGGGTCCTAGGAATGAAAAGACACTTGTCTCTAAGCCGCACACCTACACCTAGCACTTCAGGGTGCTGTAGTCCTAAGCCCCAAGCACAGTCGCTCAGATGGATCTCCAATGACCATGGCATCTACAGGGTATGGACTGTGGTGCATTACTTCTTTGGCCAATGTGTCTTATACATAGAATGCTAGAGAATTCTTTCAGGGCAAAAAAAAAAAAAATAGTTGTCAGTCTTAAAACGAGTTTTCATTTCTGCATCATGAAGCAGGGGCAGATGCCCTTTAGAACATGATGCTGCCGTCCATTCCACTACTACCAAGGCCCGTGAGAAGTCAGTGTGCACATTTAGAAGGGCCACTGCTGCCCACATATATCATTCAATGTTCATGGCTGCACAACTACATTCTTCTCGGGGCGTCTCGTAATTACCTAGGAGATTATTTCATATTCCAGTATCTCTAACTACATCATTCATAAAGATTAAGATAAAATATTTTCCATAAAGAACATCTTTCCTGAAATCTCATTTTTTGCGGATTATCTCATTATTTAGCAGATTATTTTTATTATTAACTGGGTCACCCCAGTCTGCTCACAAAGCCAGCTGCACAGGAGACTCTAAATATATTATATAGCAGAACCTTACCATCCGGAGAGGGAACAGGGTCACTGTGGGGTGAGGCTTCAACTCACTGTAAGGTGAAAGCTTGTACCATGGGAGAAGCGTAATCAGAGCTGTGTGATCTCTTTGGATTGATCAGAAGAACAGCAGAGGGATTATTCTACGTCACTAAGATATCTTGACACAGGGAGAGGGTTGAAGTAGACCAAACTGTGTTGGCTTGAACATGGCTGTTTAAAACTTCCAGCTTTGGGCAATCTGCAGACCTTGCTAGACCTCCCATCTATGTGGGAGGAGCTACATTGTAGAGTTTAGCAGAAGGGGGTTACTACAAGGATGTCACAATTCTATCGTGCTTCATCTCTAACAAATTGCGTTTCCCTGGAGTTCCGGCGTGCTTTGAATTAGCATCAAAGACAAGAATTCTTAACCCCACCAACTGGCAAATATAGGAATTTCAACAGTTCTGATCTAATGACTCCAAGTAAATCACTATTAATTTCTTACTTTCCAACCTACCTAGTCAAGCAGAAATGCAGTCAGAATTGCTGATGAAATTACAGATCACAGAGGAGGCTCTCAAATGCATTTCTTGCTTTCATCCTCCAAGCAAGGCAAGTTCCAAACTAAAAAACAGCTTGGATTCAAATTATTAGCATTTTAAATATAGCCTCTAAAAATTACCTTTAGGAGGCAGTGAGTTAAGGATGGGATATGACTTGACAAGGATTATTATTGATCGAGCTTATCTTTCTGAAAGTCACACCTTGGCATTTGAAAGACATATTTTTTTTTACCTGTTGTGGACAAGATGGGACAGATAGGAGACCAGTTGTCGGGAAATCCAAAATGTATGGGTTTCAAATTATAACCCATTTATCCTACATGCAGCAGGCTGAGATTACATTTAAATGCTAGTAGAGAATTATTCATTCACCTTAAGAACAGGCTAATTATTGTAATATTCCATTATGAAATTCTCTGTCCATAAAATCTCCTATTGCTACTCTATTGGCAATTACTTCAAGGGCCATCTAGACTGTCTATGAAGTTAAGAAAGATACTTTCAATGGTCCTTAAAGAATATGGTATAAATACACACACACACACACACACACACACACACACACACAAATGCAAGGTCCTCTATTAGGAAAGAAGAGAGAGTTTGATCAATTAACAGAAGTGCCGTGAATGTCATTAGAACCCATTTAAAAATTATGGCCTACATCATCTTGGAAACCAGCAGTGGTTTCCGACCATCTGCAGAAAAATAAGGCTGCATGTAATAAGATAGGTAAAGAACTGATGGAAACAAACACACGCAGACACACAACACAGGAATCTCAGCCAAGTCATCTGATCGTTCCCGAATTCACCGCCATCATTCGATGCTGTCACCATCAGGTTAATTATAAACCACGCCGGAAGCCGACCCGTCGGATTTGCAAGTCAAAGGGTCAGAAGGTGAGCGTTTTAGAATAAATCGGGTACCTGAGAGTTTCATGAGAAGTTCAGACGCGGCTTTGACTGACATATCCCGCCTCAACACATTCCCCTTCCCGTCCTGGGGCTTCGGCGTGTCCTCGGAGATGCTCTGGGCTGCCACTTCAGGTTCTGGGTGGAACACATAGCTGGGCCGAGGCAAGGCCGTGCTTAGGGCTTCCTCTTCCTTGGGCTCCTCTTTCACTTTAAAGTTAAGATTCAGGGGCTCCTTCTGATTTGCAGCTGTCAAAATAAAGCGGGGGGTTATATATGTGTGTGTGTCTATGTGTGTATGAAAGGCCTCCCCCACCCACCCCAAGCTGCCCCGTTGACTTAATGAAGTATGGAATGCACGATCACCTTGTGCTAAGAGCAAGAGGAACCACGATCGGACCAATATAGGCTGAGCCCTGAGCTCAGAATTACAGATGCACCCCTTGCGCCTGGACTTCTGAAAGGTGTGGGCTTCAGATTCTTTTAAACCAACAGTATTTTAAGAAGTGCCATCTCGACCAAGCGCTGGGGCATTTTCTCTTTGGTTTTCCTAAGTATCAGGAAGATACTGTCTGTGTCATTGCCTTCCTGACCTATTAGCAATCTCCCCCGCCTAATCCTATTACAGAATAAGGCTTTTAGCAATTATTCTGCCATCAAATATTGAATAAAAACATGAGTCAGAGGCAAGACCCAAAGCCAAAACCGGGGGGTGGGGTGGTAAGGTGAGGACGCAGAATTTGCCAGTAAGAAAAGCTCAGGCGAGAGAGACACCACTCTTGCCTTATTAGAAGCAGACACTACTGACCCCTCCGCGGTGGGGCATGTACTTGGCTCTGTGCTTCTGGTCACTGTGAATAAATCTATGTCTTTAGTCCGAGTCATCTTTGCATAACAAATGGACTTTGGGTTTGGTTTTGCTTTTAATTTTGAAATCATTTTAGATTTATAGGGAAGCAGCAAAGATGGTTCGAGAGTGCTCACGTGGCCTTTGCCCAACATTCCCTAAGGTTGACCTCTGACCTAACCTCTGTACCGCTGTCAGAACAAAGACATCCACATTACTGGGATCTAAACTCCAGATTTTATTCGGATTTCACCAGTTTTTCCACCAGTGTCCTTTCCCCACTTTGGGCATGGCTGGTTGGTGTGGAGCACATGGTCAGGCTAACTGGCTTTTGATGGGATGGAGTCTGAGGCTCAGCTCTTTTGTGCCAGGCCTTCCCCACTGCGCTGCACACACGGGAACAACCAGAGTGACAAGGACAGCTCCCACTTGCTTTCTGTCGTCACTAGGTTCCCGCAAAGGACCATGTAGTAGGAACTGTGGGTTGCTTACACCAGGTGTGCTTGTCTTTTCAAAGAGAGGATCTTGTCCTAACACAGAATTCTTAGTAATATCTCTTAGAATGATCCTCAAACCCATTCCATCTTAAAAAACCAAAAGATGAAAATGAATCTCCAAAGCAAGCACCCCCCACCCCCCGGGCCAATGCACAACACATGGTCCTTTCTTCCCCCTTAGGCCCCTCTAGTGTTTTTGGAAACTGGGCCCCAGAGGTTTAAAGTCACATTCACAAGTTTCACTACCAGAAAGTTGCAGAAGTGAGATCAGAACCTAAGTCCATGAACTGCGGGTCCTCTACCTGTGGGGGCTGTGCTGTACCCAAAGTCAAAAAAAAAATTTCACTTTCAAACCTTTGCTCGAGTGCCACCTGTTCAATGAGCTCTACTCTGACCATCCTGCTCAAAACTACAGCCCCCTCCCCATCTTGCACCCAGTCTTTCTTATCCTACAGTAAATATTTTATGCTCCATAATATGGAGCTGCCATGGACTGCACGGTGTCCCCCACTAAATGCACATGTCGAAGCCCTAACCTTGCAGTGTGAACATGCTTTGAGTTACGGCCTTCAGGGAGGTAATTAAAGTTGCATGAGGCTGTAAGGGTGGGGCCCTAATCCAACGTCACTGGTTCCCTGTAAGCAGAGAAAGACAGACACCAGCAAAGGTACATGCACAGCAGAAAGGCCCTGTCGGGACATGTGAGAAGGGGGCCATCCACAAGCCAGGAAGAGAAGGCTCAGAAGAATCCAGACCTCCCAACAACTCCACCTTGGACTTCCAGCCTCCAAAACTCTGAAGACTAAATTTATACGATATCAGCCTGCAGTGTTTTGTCGTGGCAGCCGGAGCAGAGAAATCACATACTGTATCATTTTTTCAATTTGTTGTTAACTACTTAACGTCTGTTCCCTCAACTCCAAGGCAGGCTTCATGACGGTGACAATCATTCTAATGCTGATGTCTGTCAAGTGCCCAGAACAGTGGCTGGCACATCAGAGGGGCGCAGTAAGTACTCTTTGAGTGAATAAATACTTTGGCTACCAAGAAGTGGCCTCTGATGGGCTTCCAGTATTACTTGTGGGAAACGAAAGTTAAGAACTCTAGAATATCCCACGGGAATCAACCGGAAGTGCTTTCCCTGGATCTGCTCATTACCTGGGGATGAGATCTTTGGGATGAGGTTAAAAGCTTTGTTACCGAGACCACACCACATAGCGAGATGTCTCCCATCCAGTCCCTTGGCCGCTAGCTTTTCTAAAGAGGGAATCCAGAAAATTTCAAGGCAACTGCCTCTCATCCAGCCATTTGGGGGCAATGCCACTGAAAGCTAAGCCAAAAGGAACAACAGCACCGGCTTTAGAACAATTCTCAAATACATACTTCCAACCCCAACCAGGAGGGTGGCGTAAAGACTCCGCTTACTTAGTGTCTTTCTTCCCTGTGCACTTTTTAACCACTTCCCAGGGGGTTTTGCTGGTGGCACACCTAGACTTTGCCCTTTCTTCCACAACCTTGGTAAGACCCTTTTCCAGGAGGATCCTAGTCACGACAGAGTCGTCATCAGTGGTGTATTTATTGACTTCTGTGACTTTGGTTCCTTGGGAAGGAATAATTTAAAGTGAATGGTTAACATTAAAAAAAAAAAAAAACTTCTACGCTGTTATCTTTTATTTAAAAACATTTTAACCTTTCAAGATAAGGCTAGGACAGACAGAAAAAGCTGAGGCCCTCGAAGCAAATCCCAGTTTTCGGAGAAGGCAAACATGAGGTGGATAGTCTGGGAACATGTAAATGGCTTCTCGGAGCACTGGTCAGAATACACGCTCCATGAGACTTAAGGGGAAAAAGACGCTCGGCATGGTGAGCAAGACCTGGAGTTAACAGAACTTCAATAAGACACTTCAAAAAACAACAGGCAGCTCCATGTGGCTGGATTACCAGCTTGCAGAGCACGACACACCTGGTTTTTATGCTGACAACATCAAGAAGGGCATAAAAGTGTCAGGTGCTGAGAAAATGTAAATATAGTTAATGACATAACAGAAAAACATGTGGGTCTAAATAGAAAATGTAAAAATAGAAATATGAAGGCCAGCCTGCTTTCTTTCAGTTGCCAAAAATATTTACATTGAGAAGAGCACATATAGCCATTTTTAAAAAAAATTAATATGACCGAATAATTGCCATCTTTTGAATTATTCTAGTTTTAACAAAAACCTACATGGGTAGAGCAAGGTGAAATTAAAGATGCTTTCTTTTCCTTGTGGGAAACTGCTAAGAGAAAAGCAACAATTTATGAATCATTGCGTGGTCCTTACTTCATTCCTACTCCTCACACAGAAAGATCTGTGCACACATGGATCGCAGCTCACAAAGGGCCTTCGCAGCACCTGCCTCGACTTCTGTTTATGTATCTTAAAGTTGCCAGACGCTCCACTTTTAAGGCACAGAGGAAGCCCCGCTAATCAAGAGGTCCTGTCTCTCTTTGTTTATTCAAAACATTTTAGGAGCTGAGCCACTCTGATTATAAATTATGTACATCTGTAAGTTCCTGGGCTGGATGGAGCTGGGCTGTCATTTAGGGGAAACAGATTGGCTTCGATGAGGATTTATAAACGATTCAAGATAGAGACAAATGCAGGAAAGGATTGGGAAAACCCCCAGAGAAAAAGATTCCAACTGTCCAATTCTAAAAGGTCGGTATGAATGAGCACAAGAGGACTCCCTCCTTACAGAAGGTGCCATAGGTCCAAGGGAGATCCCCTCTAAGCCTCCTCTCCCCCAGAAAACCCTATTAACATCCTTAGAGACCATTTCATAGATAAGGAAACTAATAAGATCCCGAGAGTTTAACAGATGGATAAATGAATCCGAGCTGGTACATGCAGACCCCAGGCTCCATCGCTTCCAGGTAAAAATGCACCCAAGCCCTTTCCTTCCTCTCCAAGATGCCCGAGACCTTTGAGAAGCATGCTATCTTGAGCAGCTGGAACGTGGGATTTGGAAAATAAGGGACATGGAGTGATAGAGGTGTCATTATTGAGAAAAGGAAGGTGAGCTCAGGGTGTCACCTGAAGGGAAGGGGTGCTTTGAGGTAGGAAGGAATCTTGTGCAGATCTGACTGTGAGGAGGAAGAGAAGACAAGGAATGCTATATAAAGTTTTCTGACCCGTCCTCTTGATTCCCTTTGGTGAAGGAAAATGATACCTTCCCTTGGGATCAAGAAGACAGAGCTCTTGTTCAGTTTATAGCCTGGCACTGTGGTGAATACTGAGCTACTCTGTGAAAAAGGAAGGCCGTGGAGAACTATATTCACTCACCCTAAACCAGAGCCAGGTTCTTGGACCTGGAAGGGTTTGCAGAACAATGATTTTCAAACGGTGTTCCAAGGAACCCCATGATATGCTACAGGGGTTCCAACAAAGGTACATCTCAAATTCACCAGCAGTGCACACCTAAAATGTCAACTCCCTGGAGTCCACCAGTGTGTTAACTTGTGTTGATGAGTTAATTTGGTTTTGTGTAGCCCTTGTAATGCAGTTTCTCCTGTCATGGGGGAGTGTTAAATTTCTAGTAATTCGTTGTTAATAAGGAAGTGTTTGGCTTTCCACTGATCTTTCGAAAATATCCAGGTCTATGCATGTGTGTTCACATAACATTGTACAGTTACGGAACTACCAGAACCTATATGCAGCCCTGAAGTCCTTTTCTCAACTTTTGGCCACTGACATTTTGGATTGAATAATTGGTTTGGAGGGGGACCGTCCTGCACATAGTAGAATGTTTCCTGGCATCCTTGGCCCCTACCCACTAGAGGCCAGTAGCTCCTACCAGTGGTAAAAACATAAAATGTTCCCAGACGTTACCAACTGTCCCCTAGGCAAACCTGCCTTAAATTAAAT